CTCTGGAGTGGTTGCCTCCTTCATTGTTTGGCACTCCGCCATCTCATGGCTAGTGCTCAAACACCAATCACAAGACATCACCGACCTCTTTCCTTGCTTCTTATCTTCAAGAATTACCTCGATCAACTTGTCAAGCTTTGCTTCAAGTGGAGCGCTTGCTCCCACATTCCTCACTCCTCTATCATTACTTCTTTTACCGCTCCTCGTCAAACCCCAATCATACCCCTTGAGGGCCATGTCTTCGAGCAATTCGGTCACTTGCGTTGGAGTCATATTCATCAATTTCACTTGACACAGAGAGTCTATGAGAATTTTTTCTTCTTGGATTAGTCCACTGTAGAAAGTTTCAATCCGAAATTGATCCTCGAACCCATGGTGAGGGCATTGAAGAAAGTAATAAGAGAATCTCTCCCAAGCACCCCTCAAGATCTCGTCTTCCTCTTGATCGAAATGGGTGATCTTCTTTCTCCACTTCGCCGTCTTTGAAGGCAGGCAGTAGCGGGTCATGAATTTGTTGAGAAGATCTTCCCATGAGGTGATTGAACAAGGCGGGCGGTTGTTTAGCCACCGGATTGCTTTCCCCGCAAGTCAATTGGGGAAAAGCCTCAGTTGCAAAGCTTCAGCCGGCATGCCATTGATTTTCAAGCTCCCCACGAGCTCCAGGAATCTCTGCACATGCTCTCTTGGTGGCTCTCTCGGAAGACCATGGAACAAAGCATTATTCTGTATCATGGTCACTAGATCCGGCTTGATCTCAAAATTGTTGGCCGCCACGGGAGGGTGTTGGATTGGCGATTGAATATCTGCCGGCCGTGGGGCCGTATAGTATCCCGTTGTCCTCAGGACTTCCTCTTCCGCCGCCACATAGTTTAGGTTATGAGCTTGGGCGGCTCCTGCTTCTCTTTGGTTCCTCGACATTTCTACTCCAATGTCGGGTTCACCTTCCACTTCTTCAACTTCTACTCCACCAGCACCAGGACCAAATTGTTGTCCCCTTTCTTCACTTCTCCTCCTTGCCTCCGCTAGCTCCCTCTCCGTGCTAGGAGTCGGAGAGTTCGGTTTATTTCCTCGTCACGTGGTATCAAAGGTGTCGGATTGCTCCGGGTCATGCATCTCCCTACACACACTTAGAAAACAACACCAAGTCTAGCACAAGCAAGGTACACACTTTCAAAACTGGAAATGAAAAGCTAGATTAACACCAAACAACTTTTTCAAGATAACAGATCGTGTTCCCCGGCAACGGCGCCAAAACTTTAATCTTCCCAAATATCACAATTTATTCCCACCTAAGGTCCAAGTATAAACCTTAGTAGGGTGCAATACAAGGAAAGCATGTTTAAATATCGACTCGGGCCGGTCTATGTACCCCTACTTCAATTGTTTGAAACATTATCTAGCAAATCGGTTTTGGTTGAAAAGTTTGCTAATTAAAGTAAAGCAAGGCAAAAGTAAATGGTTTTGAAAGCTCTATGTGATAAGGATCACTCGGGTGTCGCTTCCCCCTAACTACAACAATGGCACGAGGAATTGAATTAATTGTTACGGGCAAGGTGACCGCGAACTGCTAGAAAATGCAATTATGGTCGTAGACTACACTCTCATTTGCCAAACCAAGGGATACATTATAGGCTACTCAAGTAGCCCTCTTGGTTAAGGCAATCGATGGTTGACTTACTCTCTCACTCAACCCAATGGTTGGTCGGGTTACTCGTCCGTAAACATAGAGTGCGATGTTGAAACGCATCGCTTCGCCATCAGGAGTACATTCAGTGCACTCGCTTTATAACCGTCATTTTACGGCCTCAGTTCAGGCTCAGTTCACTCATTTTTTTGGGTGCATTCAGTGCACTCGCTTCATAACCATCATTTTAAACATGCGATTTATGTTAAAATGATGTCAATCATCACTTATGATGTAATGAACAATAACACACATGAATTTGCACAAAACCCATTAAAGATTTACTTTAATTTGAAGGATTTAGAGTTTAGAGATTTATGTTTAGGGTTAGCGTTTACAATTTGGGTTTAGGGATACAACTCAAAATTGGAGGTCTAGAGCTTAGGGCAATCCGCTAATTAGTTGTTATCATATGTTATATCATCATATTACACTAATTCTACAAATTAAAATTCAAAATCTGACATCTTCTCAATTCTTCTTTGAAACCTTAGAACTACAATAGCTAGGTGATACGTCATCATCTTCAACACGTCGAAGAGGCGAGGACTACATGATAAAGCAGCTATGTCGGGCATATCGGTCTGCGTCCGTCGCTCTGTCTGCTCTGCTGCAAATCAGCTCTCCGAAGGTTCGCTATCATCGACCTCCTTTCCCTCAACAATCATCGTCGTCTACAAGGCCAAGAAAGGCCCAATGGAGAAACCAGCGCCGCTCGCAGAACTAAACAAAGAAGAAGATGAGGGGAGCTCAAAGAAAAATAGATCCAGTGACTCTGAACATGGATCTAATTCATATGGGTCTTCTCCGTTGGTTTTCCTAGTTTAGTTGAAGCCCGTCATTAAGTCCATCGTAATGAAGTCACTCACCATCAATGGAGGCGCCACAACTCTTTCCCCTCTATTGGGTTCTTTCACCACGCAAGCACTGTGTTCCGAGAGTTTGAAGCACAAGATGATTATAGAGTTATATGAGTTTTTTTAACAGGAGATTGAAATGAATCTATTGGATGATCAGAAGAAAATTGTCTACAAATTATTTTGGAATTCTGAAAGAGTTGGCGGTTGTGTTGAAATGAAGTTATCTATGAGTAAATTAGAAGCTTTGAAAGCTGTGATTGAGCATAATTTTGATGAGAATAATATGATTGAAGTTGAGCCTGTGAAGAGTGAACAGATTGTCCATATTTTTCTTTATAGGAAATCATATTCTGTGCTGAATTTTGTGACTGTGTGGGAAGGAGAAGCCAATGCTCGCTCCTACACAACAAGAATCCCAATTTCATAGTGTTGAGTTCTCCAAAAAATAAAGTAGAAAGAGGAGCTGCAAGTTTCCGCGACAATAACAATAAAAGGAAAAAGAATTCCAGTAAAGAAGATCATATGCAAGGGAAAGAACAATTCAATGTTTCAAAAGAAAAGAAAAAAAGGAGAAAAGGCAGCATTCAATTTGAAGAAGCAGAAGGAAGTATCCAAACATTGCACTCCCATGTTAATTCACAGTTTTTGGTAGGAGTGTTAGCTAGTAAGAAGCAACTGCATATCCCAACCAAGTTTTGGTCCATCTGAAGCAGAAAAATTGAAGATGTGAAAGTAAAGCCAATTAGCCAAGATGCAGCGACATTTTCGATTGAATGAATGCTAGCCAGCCAAGAAAAAGCAGTCGCATATCCAATAAAATTGGAGAAACTGAAACTAAAAAGTTGAAGTTGGCGGTTGAGGAGTTGAAGAATAAGAAGAAGAATGTTGTGATATCCCATTAACATATCTGTGTATTGGAGGATTGATCACCCCTTCATACAAGTATATAAATCAATGTTTGATTGTATAGATCACTAATGCTATAGACTTTGTGTTATGGCTCAGGAGGCTCTAATTAACTAAGTGATATCCTTACTTCTCTATTCTTAATTAAATAGTTAATGACATGAAGTAAAAGCACACATTAGTTAGCTATTGTTCATGTCGCATATGGTGATAGCTCGATTTTCATTGCTTTAGTAAAAATGACCAAGTTGTTCAAGGACCGTAGGGGCGATGATTTACTTCACGGGCGAGGTCTCAAGTTCAAGTCCAGGATGGCCCAACTGGGCCAAAGAAAAGAATAGAAGAAGCATCTGACCCTGTGAATTGCGGGAAAGTAGGATACTCCAAATTCGGGAGTCCAAGAGTTTTATAAAACGTTCTTGATTCACAAAAACTCATTTAGTTTCATCCTATTAACTAGACTCGTCTGAACTAAATAGCATTATATCTTTCATCCACTAAGATATTTCCGAAAAGTCAAAACTAAGTGATAAAGGTTTTGTGAAATCTTCTAAAATGTTAATAGGTAAAAGAATTGGAGTTGGTTGTATGTATTTACCAAAATAACCTAATCCTTTTTTTGCTAAGGCCCGCATAAAAATATGCCACTGACGTAAGGTGCCTTCCAGAACCAGGGGTCTTCGAGCCTGCTGCGTACGTTTAGCCAGCCTTGCGGCGGCAAAAGGATCACACGTCCCCCATGCTACGGTTCCCCGCGGTCCAACCCCGGAACACATTAGGTTAGGGGGCAACTTGTATACATAGAACATCTGGCATAGCATAGATAATAAATAAATAGGAGTTAATAACCTGACATTCGAACAATAATGCGCATGTGCTTCCGAACAGAGCTCGCTCCTTTGTTTTCGTCTCTTGCCCGGGCAGTGGTAGGTCAGCTTTTGTTGTTGCTGGAACTATGTGGTATGGTTCAGCAACTACGCCGATTGAACTATTTGGTCCCACTCGTTATCAATGGGATCAAGGATATTTCCAGCAAGAAATATATAGAAGAGTTGGTGCCGGATTATTTCCGATATAATCATAAAAAGCCAATTTTTCAGGAATTTTAGACCACGCTTCAGATAAACTTTGATTTTCAGCTAACTTCTTTCTTCTTCTTTACCAGACCGAAGCGTTGAGGAAGGAAAGATGCTTTAAAATAAAAGCCTTGATTTCGGGCTGAATGGGAATTGGTCTGATTCTATCTATGTTCGTTCCGTTTGAAGAAAGGAAGGGTCTCTGATCAAGGATAGAACAAGATCCATTTTTCATCATATCTAAGGGACTCCTTGGTTCGGGCCGAAGAAGCAATGTCACTCGATCATTATCAAACTGACTGCAACCTTTTTCTGTCCGTGAGGATCCCACCAGAGCGCCTTCTAGTTCTATTAGGCCATGAACTAGATCATAATTAACTATTAGGATTAATCGAATGAATCAAACTTTTACCACTAAACTATACCCGCCATTATTTGATTATTGTATAGAAAAGAACCTTTTGTCGAGTAAGAGTATCGGGCGTGATCAAGATTAGATCATACCATAAATGAAACGAATTCTGAAAAGCCCTGCTTAATGAGTTCATCGATGTTGTCCCTTGGTCTTATGATGATATGCCGGGAATGGATCCTGAGATTGTGCAGCATTGCATTCATACCTTTCCAGGCCTGATTAGGGTTAGGGGGAATAGGCTGGCGAGAAGGAGAATTCTATTTCTTCTTCTATTTCCCACTCCCTGTCTACTAAATGAGTGTGTTAGAGCGAGCGAGTGAAGCCTTCAATTGATTTGAAAACCCTTTTCCCTCACCCTATTCTTTCCTTTCCACTTAAGCTTCCCCGGTTTGTGGGATTAATTGATTGGATAACTGATCACCATAATCTTTCCTAGGAACAGCTTCTACGACGATAGATAAGTGTCAGGTTTGTTTGGTATCTATGCCCCCTGCCCTCCAAACGGTATGGGAGCCCAAGCACTTATTTGTTGAGGCGAAACCAATCCAATTCGGAGTTGTTGATGTTTATACCGATCGATCATAGAAGAAAATTTCTTATTCGTTCCGCTCTCAGATCGTTGTAACCTAGTGAAAACAAACAAGAGCAAAATGATAGGTTCCCTATTAAATGAGGCATGGAACAAAGAAGTCGATTTGCTTTATAAAAAGAAGATATCAATGAACTTCTATGAAATGGTTTTACGGGATTCAGCCAATTGTCTTGATCGTGGGATATTATTGAGAAATAGGAAGAATTTCGGCTGCTACCATCGTAGCAGCATGTATCAGAGCCGAAATAGGAGTAGGTCCTTCCATTGCATCTGGTAACCATACATGAAGAGGAATTGTGTTGATTTAGCAATTGGACCAAAAAATAATAGGAAGGCACAAAATAAGACATTTATAAACAGCTCTACCATAATTCTTAGCGGATAAACCCAGTTTCGGTTTAATAGTACATCCCAATAGGGGGCGACCATACTTGTTCAATTTATCTCTCTCAACTTGAATACCGTGAGGCGGGCCTTGGTAAGGCCAGCCTTACCAGGTCTCCCTTGAAAATTTGGCACTTCGCTGTCAAAGCCATGTGGCGCCGATGTCTCTCCGCATTGGTCAACATGCGGTCATTAACCACAAGCCAAAACCAAACCCTACCTGTCGATGAAGAAATTTTAGAGCTAGCGCCAGAGATGAAAGAAAAGATAGGGAATCTGTCTTTTCATAGTTATCTTCCCAATAAAAAAATATTCTGGTGATAGGCCCTGTTCCTGGACAGAAGTATAGTGAAATCACCTTTCCGCCGAATTAGAAGCCTTTGCGCAATTTGCTTCCGATCTCGATAAAGCCACTCAGAATCAAGTGGCAAGAGGTCAACGGTTGCGTGAGTTGCTTAAACAATCCCAATCAGCTCCAAAACTGGACATGAGAGTTTCTTCTCATCCAGCTCCTCGCCAAATGAAATGCTTAAAAAATGGGATTGGTAAATAATATAATATATAGAATTATTTCTTTTATTAAAAAATGAAAACGTTGTGTATTTAGTATAAACTTGTATTGTATATTTTGTTCCATTCTCAAATCACTGAACTTTTGAAGTCTCGTTACTGTAGTGGACCAATTCGTTAAAATACCGCTGAGTCATTTTTTATTAACATAATGACACTGAGCCCTTATTGCAGCCCGCTCTACTAAATCGGCTGCTTTTTTTTGTACAACTAGCTACGGGGTTTTCTATGACTTTTTACTATCGTCCGACCGAACCCCTATAGCTATAATATAAGATACGGCCGGAAGTTTCATCTTTAGTCTTAGGCTGCACTATTCGTTGAAGATAAAAGTACATCGAACCCATATGAAGTTTTACCATGAGCAGATTGAATCGATTGGGCCCTTATCAGGGCTCCTCTCTATCCTTCCATCCATAAAGACATGTAATATCATCTCCGACTGAGCTAGAAAGCGAGCAACTCATCTTTCGAGAGGGAGTCCGACTACCAATCATCAATAGGCTAATAAGAGACATAGAAGCAATAAGTCGCGGGTAGCTTTTACAGTAGGCTATAGCTACTCGTTGGTCTTATTTTGACTAGGCTTCGGTAGGGAAAGAAAAAATGTCTTAGTAGATGAAAGTCTCATTAACTGCGCCGAATCCCTACTTCTTGTTGCTAGCAAATGAGAAAAGACTACTTCTTGGACTATAGCCGACACCAGAGAAGTCCACTTACTTTTTATTTGGTTAATTCCAAATCGAATTTTTTGAATAGATTTAATTGGAATAATGTAAAATAGGCAAAGGCTGAGGGATTTTAAGGTGGAATATGGCTTCTATGGAAGTAAGAAAAATTATTCCGTTCTAATCCTCCCGGGACGAAAGCTAGCTCACTGCCTCACACCACTCTGGAGAATTGGCACCGCACCCTAACCCTCTAGTCGTATGGATTGATTCGAATAAATATGGAATTATTGCCCCGCGCACATTCTATATTTTCCCACGAAAGATCCTTTTTTGGCTCTCTCTTTAGCCCTATGTCTCTTACCCCTAGGAGGTTTTCCTCCACTAGCAGGTTTTTTCGGAAAATTCCATTTATTCTGGTGTGGATGGCCGGCATGCCTTTCTTTTTTCGGTGTCTTCTTTGATTTTATAGAATAGCCTCCGCTGCTGCTAAAGGCTTATTGGTAGTTTTTAGGCCAGTGAAACTGTCCCTGTAGCTAAAGTAAAGATTCATGAAGCTAAGCACGGAAAATCAAGATCAATTACTAGATGATTCCCCAATTCTTAACTGGAGGGGGCACCAAAGGCCTCCCAGGATTAGGGAAAAACAGCTCTGAGTGCCCTATCCTTCCACATGAAAAAGAGAAGTACGAGAGGCGTTCGTAAAAAACAGGATACCACTCTGTCACCTTCCTTTTAATCGACGTGATCTTAATGCCCCGCCTAACCGGTTTACAAAGATCAAGCCAAAATCTTCTTTATAGGTGTTGAGCATCACATAACATACGTCGAACATCTGTTGCCTCGGTATAAAGAACTATAGACGGAACCCACAGGCATTCTTTCTCCAAAGAGTAGGGCCCAATGATACAAATGTGGAAAGCTTTTTTCTTCACTATTGCCAGTTGGTTTAGCGCCTCTCTTTCTAGGTGCTCATTCCTGTGAGCAACCAAAAGGGCCCGCCCTGCGAGGCCAGAGTGGGCTCAGCGGTCAGACACCATTCGAATTACGTTAGGGGGTCTTTCACTTTTGCCAGATCTAGAGAGATACTACGAGTCCTCCGTCCTAGATTCCTTCGCTGCGACCATCTGGTTCACCGGTACTACCAAAAAGTCTCATGCTTACGTTACTGTTACTGATGGTTTAATTAACATCGAAGTTGTTGGTACTAGATAAAAGATAAATCATAAGATGCATGATATGATTGAGAATTGAGATGCATGTTAATATGTAGAGTGAGCATTTCTACGTAATAACATATCTTTCTATTTCTGTTTTTATTTTTCTGCCTATAAAACTCGAAAATCCACCTAAACATATTTATCATTCATTATTTTTGCGAATTAAGATGAGTAGTTAGGTGTGAGTAGCTATGCTTTAGAAATCCTTGTGGAATACGATCATAGACATTTCTAAGATTTATGACTTGATTGTATTTGATCTGCATTAATAAGACTACTACACGAAATGCACATGAAATGATGGAAATCAGCTCCCAATATTCTTCTCCTTGATCCTCTTCTCTTCCTCTTGGCCTCTTCTTTTTCTTGTTCTTCAATGGAAACTAAACACTTTATCTCTCTAACTTGTGGGTCGTGAAATTTTGATTTGTCCCGTGAACTTTGATTGACTGTTTTGCCCTACTTAGCTCGGAGATCACAGTACGGAGATTCCAATCATGATCTTCTCTTGTGGTCGTGAACATGTACATACCGTGAACTTTGGGATCACGATTGAATCTTCGCATCTTCATTTTGCCCGTGAACTCTTCTCGCCTTTTTTCCTTACAGTTGATGCTCTATTCTTTCTTAATTTCTTTAAACCCACACACTTTGACCTAGTTAAGCTCATATACATGATAGGAAGTGAATGAAGGCTAAAAAATGAATTTAAATATTCTTTGATGCACAATTATGACATGAAAATACCAAGATTGAGGGTAAATAACATCAATTTCGGGTGTTATCACCAATGCTCTTTCATTACTAGTTGTTGAAAAGGTTTTGAAGTTGTTGGCACCTCCTATTTCAATGAACTCAGATGTATGGTTACATGGTGCTCCAAGAACTGGGCAAGGGAGTGGATCCTATCAGTAACCTTGTAGTGTAACTGTGCATAATCCAATCCCAATCCACCACATCAGCAGCCCTCGCTCTCCTATAGAAAGCCTTTAATTTTTTCCGCTCCAATCTTTACCGGACGATTTCTCTCTTATTTTGAGTCAGTTTTTTTTTGCACAGATAGATCAGATTAATTGTACTCTTCAAAATGATATACACTTTGATATATTTTTCGAACAAAAAAAATTTGAAGTATTTTTTACCAGTCCATACCATATGGTATTGATTGGTATTCATGCCATATGGTATGTTCGTGTACCACAAGATACCAATCCCCATACCAGGGTGCTATAGTGTGGTATTTTTTGGTCAAATATTTTTTTCATCTAGAAAATTTTAGATCCAATAGATCATGAGTAACTCATTCCTTCTGTGCAAAAATTTTCAAAAACGACTTAAAACGTAGGAGATACCATATGGTATGGATCTCATTTTGTAGAACACAGCGTACTTGTTCCATCTGTGAAAAAAAAATGAAATCCGAGCTACAACGAAGAAGATAAGAGTCAATTAAGAAACTAGAGAAAATAAAATATCTTTAATTCTCCACCCACAAATCTGAATTTTCTGGGCCCACTAAAACAAGAAGTTCTAGAATTAGTTATGCACCCTAACTTGAGCCCACCAAGACATTTTGCTAAGCCAGAGTTTACATATTGTTGTTATGTATGTCGGTGAGTTTGATCTGGAGGGAGAGATGTGGAGGTGCTCGCATGTATGGCTTAATTTAAAAAAATTCAGAGCTGAATTTAAAATTTTATTTTAAGCATAAATAAAAGGGTATGTCTATGGTGACATGCATGTCACCGTAACTTGCACTTTTAGGTCGACCTCATATAGGATTAGGTCGACCTAATCTGCACTTTTAGGTCAACCTCATATAGGATTAGGTCGACCTAATATGTCGTTTCAGTTTTGTGAGGTTCTCGAATACACTAATGTGGGCACACTGATGACTTATCACGGTCAACCTTTAAAATGTAGTGTCCGACCGTTTGTAGTTTAAGTTGTCATTGTTGGTTGACCACAATAAAACATCGGTCGCCCTTTTCATTGACGTCAGAAGCAAAATGGTCGACCATAAAGGTATATAGATCGACCACTTGATGGCAGTCATTAACAAAATGATCGACCATTTACAGAAGGAGTTCGACTAGATAGAAGAGAAGTGTTGTATACATTTATCCATCATCATTTGACGTAAAATGAAGATCATGTGTTGGTTTCGGGGTCGACCGAATATAAGAAAATCAACTTATGCCCTGCTTCTTTTTTGCTTATGTATGTTGATGTAGGTGGTTCTTTTGCTCGTACAAATTACATTTCAAACCAGCATAATTAGTCATAAATAGTGATAACAAGGGCTCATAACTTCCACATGGTCAACCTCTTGAATCACGTACAGCAGCAACCGCAAAGGATCTTCTTCACAAAAGCTCTAACCGTAAAAAAAAAACATATTTCAGAGTTTCGGTGGCGGTGAAGGTGACATATTTTCGTATTTATAGATATTTAGGACGAGAATGAGTCGAATTAAGTGGTAGATAAGTTAGGGTTACCTTTCTGGTGTTGGAATCCTTATCCAATACGGATGCGGTGTGCACGCGGTCGACCTCGTACTTATGCGGTTGACCTCAGTTAATCAAAATGGTTGGCCTATGAGGTATTTGGGTCAACCTTTCATTCTGTTCGCTTCCCAAAGAGGTCGACCATTTGCTATAAAAGGTCAACCGCGTCGTTGAACCTCACAAAACTGAAACGACAAATTAGGTCGACCTAATCTTATATAAGGTAGACCTAAAAGTGCAGATTAGGTCGACCTAATGCTATATGAGATCGACCTAAAAATGCAAGTTACGGTGACCTGCATGTCACCGTGGCAAAGTCCTAAAGAAAATTAATAACAAGCTAGCACAAAAAAAAACAAAAAATGTTACAATCCACTATTTAACAATTTCTAACTATTGAGATATTTGAAATCAATACAAGATTATCTTTTATAAAAAAAATCTAAAAAAAATATTTGAAAACATATCCACATTTACAAAATGAATTGTTTTTCAAATTTACCATGCAAAACAACCTAAGTGGCCATGAGAACTTAGTTAGGCGACTTTATACACATTAAAGCACTCCATCAGACTATCTCATTGGTCTGGCTCTCTGTTCGTTGAGTATCTTCTTATTATATATTATGGTTGTTCGAAAACAACTTCTTGCCACATGACATAAGCACTTGAAGAATTCACAAGTTGTCAAGGTGGATAATTTTTGTTCAAGCAAAAAAGTTAGTTAATGGCCTATTTATGGAGTTATCTCTCTCTTCTTTTAATGATGTTTTCTTTTATTCAATAATATTTTTTAATTTTTATATTATATCTATGTTTGTAGAAAAAGACTAGTATTAATTATAAAAAAAGACTAATGTTTGTAGAGTGATATATCACATTTATTTAAACAAAAAAATATCTTACTAAACGTGATCAAGTGAATTTTCTATTGTTTTTTACAGAAACTAAATAATAAGTTATATGTTATTGAAAATTTTAAACAAACACACACATAAACAATAATATTTTCATCGATTAAACAAAATATAACGATGGAAATATAACCATGGTCGCAGGTACCCAATCGTCTCCGACCCAGTCAATATGGGGAATCTCCGCATTGATTGGGTATGGGAAAAACCCGCAATTTTTTTTGATGGAGATGGGCGGAGATGAGTTTGTAAATCCTTCCACCGTATGGGTATGGGGGCGGGTATGAGTTTAGGTATTTGAAAATTGGGATGGTGATGGTTTAGGCATACCCGCCCCATTACAATCCCTACTCTTATTTCTAATTAATATATCTATAAAATAAAATAAGTATTATATAATAAAAGGTCTGAATAGAAACTTGATGATGTACAAGTATTATATGGCATGTGAGTGTTAGAGAAATCTTTGTTGACGATGTAAGATAAACATTATGTTTCATCAACCACAGACCTAGCATTAATCAAACATGGGTTGACAATTTTTGTTTAATAGTTGAATGTCTTCTACATTAAAAGCCTTCATAGTTAGAAGATTCTAATAAGTCATTTGGTTGCATGGGTTGTGAGTATGTGACTCCATACTTAATTTTGGCGGAAAAAAATTATCATGTCAAAGTGTCGAAACAAAAATGTTAGTTTGCAACAGTAAGCAATATGTATTTAGATCGAATTATCCTATCCACAAATTTTTTTTTGTGTATTCCATAGAACGAGGTGTGTTCAGAGGTTTTAATTAGGGTTAAAAAACAAAGTAAAATCTTTATATACGTTTAGATATTAACAATAGATGTGTCTATAATACATCCAAGGATTCATCCGTGTGAAATGTCACAATGTTTGTATGAGTTTTTTTTTTTAAATCAACTTTGTCAAAAAAATAATAATTTGATTCTTTAAATGATACGACGTTTCTAATGCACTTATATCTATGCGCATTGTAGTTGTTGACATGATTTATCAATTATTAAGATATATAATGCAAATTTTTGTTCCAGATGTAACACCAAAAATAAGGAAAATTTTGTAAATTCACATTTAAAAAGTTGGAAAGTTATGCACTAAAGGATCATGTTAAGACGAGAAACCTTAAAAGTGTGTAAGAGTGTCTTGGTTTGAGATTCTTACAAGCCAACATGTAGACAACAACCATGGGTTGAAGGTTACTACAAATTTCAAGAATTAGCAATTGGTACATATTGAGTCAATAAAATTTAATAGCTACACCTTTCAGAATTTTTCAATATTTAACAAAATCTTTTGTATTAAATCTTTTGTATCACATCAAAATATTAATCATTTTTCTGTTATTTTTAATAATTTTTTAAATCTTTTCTTAATTAAAATACAATTTTTTTTGAAAGGTATAACTATTAAATTTTGCTAACAAAAATGCTAACGGGGTTAACGTTTGGCTAATAATTTTAAAGTTTGGTTAATAAATTATATTTACTCTATTATATAAGATACTAAATTTGATTGTCTTGATAGACAAATTTAAACATAAGATCCTCAGCAGAGACTTCATGAACATTCACATAAAAATGAGTTAAGATTAGATAAGTTGATCATCGTAAGGAGTATGGCGTGTGTCAAGTTTCACTTGGGATAAACTCATTTTATCCAATAATCAAGTATTTCTATCCAATAATCTTGACTCTTAATAATTGTTTGAGAGTTTGTCCTAACTCGAGAATCACAAATTGTTATATGTTTTCTAATATTAGAAATTTGAGTGGCTTGGTTGACAAACTCTTGTATATATTCTAAATGTGACGTTATAAACCTTTAAAATATGAATTATGATTGGAGAATCGAAACCTATGAACATCACAGGTGGGTGTGCTAAATATTGAGAATTTTTAATATGAACATATAGCATACTCACTTATGAAGTGTGAGCATAACTGGGTGTGCTAAATATTGAGAATTTTTTATATGAACATATAGCATACTCACTTATGAAGTGTGAGCATAAAAAAGTTAGAAGATTAAAAAAGTTTTAAACATATACATAATTAATTTCTATAAATGATAAAATGAAATTTTTCGGCCAACGGGCCGGGTAAAAAACTAGTAAACAGAATAGGGCAACTCATTTGCACTTGATGGATAAGTATGATTTTATTTCATGTTTGGCTAATCTTTATATTTGGATCTTAGTTCCCTTCTGATCTAATTAAAAAAAAAACACTATGCCCACATTGCATTTAATAAAATATTTAACCAACTTTGTCCTAACTCCTATCAACCGTAGCTCATTGCAATTGACAAATTGCACGATTAGTTTTCGTATTAGTTTATCCCTTAGACAGCAAATCTTTGAACTGGCAATTCTACCTAACAAAATAGTTCTTTCAACTCTTTCAATAACGTTTCTTTGATTAGCAGCACCAAAAAGTTGGACTTTAACACCTCTGTTTTTGTTACTTTATCACCTTATTATGTGTTTTTAATATTGAGCCAGTCTCATTTGCTTTTATATACTGCCACCATATCATTTTATCTTATTCTTATTAAGTATTAACGAAGCCTTGGATGTCGCAATTTGTGAGCATGCATATTCCCATTAACAACCAATTAAAATAACACTAAACTCTGGCAACTGGCAAGTTCTTGTCAATCGTGATGGTGAAGTGGGGAATTTAAAGGAGATAAATGTTTGGTAGCAATTTAATTCCCACCAAGTACTTGCTGGCATTGTACAATCTAGTTTATTAAGCTTTTGGTCATTGGGTCGAAGACGACATCAGTTCTATAAGTAATGTCGGTACGTTAATAAAACAATTGAGAAATAATATACATGCTAACCTCAAAAAATACATTTCACATTAGTGAGAATTTTTCCTTCTATTAGCCTAAAACGGATAATTTCCTCGATTTATTTTCTTCTAAATTAAAACAAGATAGAATCGGATCATCTTGACTGAATGATTCATAATACAATCAACCTAATATTCTGGATAACAAGTACAGCTAATTAGTTTGGAGTGATGCCAAAGACTCTACCAGAAATTTCATCTAACACCACCAAAACCCTACATCCTTTGTAATAAACAAATCCCAAAACCCTACCACTCACATATATGGACAGCAAAAATCAGACCCCCAAATCCAAAATAAACTATAAAAAAAATATGTAACCTATGTCTTCCTCCCCCCCAAGTCACATTCAACGACGACGAATATGTAACGAATATATACGAGTGAATGTGAATACTGACTATACCACCAACCTGAGCTTTCCTTTGTCGCCTTTGGTGCCTTCCAGCCATTGCCATACCCCACCCCTTTCCCCAAACTCTCTAAAATACTCCCCTCCCCTGCTCTCACATTTCACAATCCCAATTCCCCTAACAAAAGAAAAAATGCAGCTTTCCTCCATTTCCCACCTTCTTCTTCTTCTTCCAATTGTTCTCTGCGTTCAACCCTTTCTACCCTGCCTAACAGCTCTCACTTCCCCACAAGACGTTTCGGCTCTCAAAGCTCTGAAATCGGCCATCTCCCCTGCCTCCATCCCGCCTTGGTCCTGCCTCGCCTCCTGGGACTTCGCCGCGGCTGACCCATGTTCCCTCCCTCGCCGCACCCACTTCGTCTGCGGCGTCGCCTGCTCCCCTGACTCCACCCGGGTCACCCAACTCACCCTCGACCCGGTCGGCTACTCGGGCCAGCTCACCCCGCTCGTCTCCCACCTCACCGCCCTCCTAACCCTCGACCTCGCCGACAACTACTTCTCCGGCCAGATTCCCGCCTCCATCGGTTCAATCGCCTCCCTCCAGTCCCTGACCCTGCGCTCCAACTCCTTCTCCGGCCCGATCCCCGCCGCTGTGACCACCCTCAAGCTGGTCGAGTCGGTGGACCTGTCGCGGAATCGGCTGGAAGGTGGGATTCCCAAGGGGCTGGATTCGATGCTCAATTTGAGGCGTTTGGATCTCAGCTACAACAAATTGACCGGTTCGGTCCCCAAACTGCCGCCCAATTTGCTGGAGCTGGCGGTCCGGGCGAACTCGCTGACCGGCCCGCTCGCGAAATCGTCGTTCGAGCGGGCGGCCCAGCTGGAGGTGGTGGAGCTCGGGGAGAACTCGCTGGGCGGAACGGTGGAGGCGTGGTTCTTCCAGCTGCCGGCGATCCAGCAGGTCAATCTGGCGAATAACAGCCTGACGCGTGTCGTGGTGCCCAGGGCTTCCGGAAATAATGCCGCCGGCCAGCTGGTGGCGGTGGATCTCGGGTTCAACGAGATCGAAGGGGAGGTTCCCGCGAATTTCGCCGGGTTTCCGAGTTTGTCGGCTTTGTCGCTGAGGTACAACAAGCTACGTGGCAGGATCCCGTTGGAGTACAGCAGGAAGAAGAGCTTGAGGAGGTTGTTCCTGGATGGGAATTACTTGATCGGGAAGCCGCCGGCGGGTTTCTTCGGCAGTGGGGCGGCGGTGGCGGCGGGTAGTTTGGGGGATAATTGCCTGGAAGGGTGTCCAGGGTCGTCGCAGCTTTGTAGTCCGTCGCAGAAGTCGAGTGAAGTTTGTAAGCAAGCTTATGGCGGCAGGAAACCGAGGTCCTAGTTTTTTTTTTTCTTTTTTTGTTTCAATGTATAATATTGTTACCAAGTACGGAAGTACCAACCACATTGGATTGATTTTAGGGATGGGGAAAATAAATAATGATAATAAAGGGAGGTTAATTAGTACATATCTCCTAATCTTAGTATGTGGAGATTAGTTCTGTAGATAACGCTTTTGTGTGTATTTAATAGTTGAGGTAATGAAATGTATGTTTTAAAAAGGGAAAATAAAGGTCTTTGAATATTAACATTTTGAAAATGAACTTAAAAGAAAAAGAAGTAAGTTACGAAGAATTTTTTTTTGAAAGTTGAGTTTGAAACAAAAATGAACTTAAAAGAAAAAGAAGTATGTTTCCCGTCCCAAATATGGAATGTCGTCTATTACATTACATAACCATTAACCACAAGCTTTCCATTAGACTATAGGCAATCGCAATAATAATTTATTACGACACATTATATTTTTTTATAGATTGCATGTAGTTTATATGTAATTTTCAAATCGCTCAATATATTTATACGCAATCTTCAAAGTTCCCGTCGCTAAGTTAATGCTGCTACGCCCCCTAAATTATGGTATCGAAAATTTGGGCAAATGGGCATGTTTGTGTAGCTTGGTAGGAATTAAGTGGGAAATAAAGAAAGATAAGTGATATGGAATGGGGGAGACAGTCACATGTGTTTGTTGTATAGATTCTAGAATAAAGAGTCCGTTGAACCTGCAAAAGTTGAATGGCTGCTTTTGATTGACCAATGATGATGTCATCTTTGGGTCTGAAACACTATTTACCTGGTTTCTAATCTTGATTAATTAATTATATGCTGTGGTGGAGGAGCAGATTAGTATAATTAAGTACCAAGGGAATACCAAAACAGTTTGAACTTTGAAGTCCATTTTAATAAGAGTGGTGGGAAATGTTGGAGTTCACTTCTTCTGACTTGTGGAGATTTTGGTCCGGCGGGACAGTCCAGGACCAGGCCCAGCAGCAGAGAGAAAGGGCCGACTCTTTTTCGTTTTTTTCCCCTTCTAAAAACAAAGGTAAGGTGGTTTGTGGTGAAGCGGGGATTTAACTTAGAAAATGATTGGTTAGTTAAATACTTAAATTATTGTCTTCTGAAACTGACAATCCTGTCAGAGGACCCGGGCTTCTGTGCTCACTGCAAAAAGTTTAATTTTGATTTTTCAGTAAAACATTTGTGAGTGGCGGTAGTTGGTTTGGTGCGCTTTTTGTTAGCAAAAGAAACACCAACAGGTTTATTTTTCTATACAAGAAAGTGACTTATAATGCACTTTAGAAGTGGAAAAAAATTAAAGTGCAATTTCACTATAGCCACATAGTTTTGCGGTTTGGTTAAGACAAAAAAGTTCCAAGATTTAAAACTAATTAAAATCGCAATTCCAAATACTAAGCAAAATACAGCTAATTAAAGCAGAATCACTAAGAAATTATTGTTTTATCAATTAACCTTCCTTATCCATTCGGTTCACGATTCAAACTGATAATCGACTAACTGTTTACCACCCATGTTGGTTGTCGAGCGCGAGACGTTCTTAGTCCTCTTTTGGATTTGCGGAGCTAATTTGCCAACTCCTGCAGAGATAACAAAACCCTCCCGATGCTTCGACCAAGAACAAGTGAGTGATGAGCAAGAATGGTATTCGATCGAAACAGGAAGAAAAAGCTTTGGCTTCTCTGTTTCTAATACGACACCGGTTTTGTGTCTATATAAAAGGCCAACCCAAACTCCCAAATTATTATTAAAGAGCCCAAACCTTTACGTTAAAGAAGATATACCAAAGCCCAATCACCACAAGTGATGTCGCAAACCTTATTAACCCTTTTACCTCAAAGTACATCGTTTTACCAACTCACCTACAACTTCTCCTCCAGTTCTTTTTCGATCAAGGAACCCCTGTAAAATAAAATTCACAAGAACAACCACGAACAAAGTATAAACCAATAGCAACAGAAATAAAGAGAGAACACAGAACACCCAGAATTTTAAGTGGTTTCCTGTGTTGAGAGAATAAAGATCTCAACACTGACTATTCCACGATCCGAGTATCATGTTTTGTGATCTCAGACGAAGCACTAACTATATGATTGTTGACGTTCCTGATGATTACTATGATCTCTCAACCGTAGTCGATTAGCTCCCTGCTAAATCAACACACCAATCCTATCAGCTACCCGCTAATAGAGCTATTGTTTTCCCAAACAACCTTTACCCAGAAATCCTCCCGATCTCTATGCCGACTTTTCTCTCAAACCCAATTGCTCACTCGCTAGAAGCTTTCTGATTTGATCACTTTGAAAAGTCTGCCGATAACTCTGACTTCGAACTCTATATATACAATTGTCTTCTCCTCATAGCCGTTGGATTGAAAAGTTTCCTTTCCTTGCTTGTTCTTTGACTCTATAACTTTCCATATGAATTGCAATCTGTTGAGGATGATCTCCACAATCTTCCTCTAACTGGTGCTTAGCTGCGTAAACTTCCTTGATGGGAGAGTTATTTATCCAGCTGGCGATTCTGTTAATTTTGCTGGATTCAATTGCAATGCTGCTCCTAACATTCTCCCCCTCAGTTCAGCAATGACATCTTCTGCAAAATCAATCACAAGTATACTCAACAGACATGTGAGTTGAAAAATATATTACAAAACAGAACACAACAACTATATGAAAACAAAAGTACTTAAATTTCTAATAAGAAACCAACAAGCACAAGTCCTTAAACCAAACTCAAAAAGTGTTCAGATTAGACTATACAAAAACATCACCCAGTGGAACTCTTTCAAGAAACGTGCCATCCCCCTCACTCAAACACTAATGTTTATCTAGAAGTCATATTAGATCTGGATCAGACTCATATTCGGAAACGGTCGAGAAGTTATCACTCACTGCTTCTTCAGGTTCCTTCCTCCTCCGGTTCTTCAAGTTCTTGTTCGATCTCGAGAGGTGGACTCTCCACATTCCTTTCCCTAATCCTGATGCTTTTCCCAACGGTGGTTGGACGAGGATTGATCTTAGTAGAGTCTCCTGGTGTTAGCTTCTCCTTTGACTTTGCAATCTCTGCTTGCAGCTTTGAAGTCCCCCCCTTAATCCATGCTTCCAGCTTTCTTTTTCCTTTGTCCTTTGATATGGCTATCGTTCTGTTCAGCATTGCTAGGTCTGATTTAGTATTGAGATTTGATTTTCGAGCAGCAGTTGCTACTCCCCCTTGGGCATTGTAAAGCTTGCGAACGCCGACATAGGCATCTACCCTACGAAGAACATGCCGAGCCCACAGAGTGTCCATGACATTAAAAGATTGGACCTTGTCGTCCATATCAATACCAAGGCAGCGAAGGAAACATGTAATCTAAGGAGAAAACGGAAGATACCCACCATTATTGTGATCACTATAGGTGATCAAGTGATGGAACATGAGGTGAGGCATGCCGAGCTTGTGATTGGAGACTGCATTGGACATTATCCATAGGTCGAGAGGCATAACTATGAACTAGTTAACAGTGCGAGGAAGAAAGAGACGAGTAATATAGAAGTGCAACACTCTTAACTCGCCAGGAAGATAGGCAAGCAAGGTGGAGTTCGAACCAATGGTTTGGACCGAGGAGATGCCAACAATAGCGTCTTTTTTATTAAAATGGTAGAGATAAAAGTCATTCTCACTCATAAGCCCTCTGCCTTTTGTGGAAAGATTTAGAACCTGGGATAGCAGCTCAACTGTGACAGTCACACTGAACCCATACACGGTTGAGGTGAAGAAAGCCGGACGGTAGCTGTTGTCTCGACGTAGGCTGGTGTAGAACTTGTAGATTGCTTCAGGACAATGTGTGATCCTTTGTTGCTCCATCACGGTGTTTCAGCCAAGAGCCTGAACGAGATCTTCAATGCGCAGCTGATATCAGTTGAAGGTGGCTGGCTCTAGGGTGTAAGAGGGAATCAGTCTCGATGACGGAAGTGTTGAAGATAGCGAGGGTAATCTTTGGAGTCTGCGCACACATTGTTTGTGAAAACAAAGGCGCAAGCGATGATGAGAGAAACCTGGGGTTGAACGCCATTTTTTATGATGTTTGAGAGAGGATGAGTAGAAGGGAATGGTGGTGTAAGGAATATTTAGCGACAAGAATTTATAGATGAGGAATAAACCAGGAGGAGTGAATCTCATATAAGAGGATTGAATCAACTAAAAAGTTTTGGATAGAGGAAGGGGAAGATAGTTGGTCAACATATTTGAGGGAAGGAAAGTGCTACCAAAATAATAAAAACTTGGCATAACTATCAAACAAGTTCCCACACAAAGCAACACAAACTACGGGATGTGATATGAAATCATATTAGGGGTCGTTTGGATGGATTATTTAGTTGGGTGGTATTTGTAGGTTGAAATAGCTCATTTATTGGTTATGTAGTATTTATGTGGTATTTGAAAAAATTGAAGATTCAATTGACTTGTTTGGATGATTCAAATAGATGAGTTATTTAATATGTAGTATTTCATCCATGTAGGACATAGCTAACTTGATGTAATCGTTTTTGTTGTTCTTGTTAGATATAACACAATAGCACAAGTAATTTCTAGAATATCAATTGTAGAATATAAACAAAATATATTCGAGCAATCCACTGGATCATCATAATGCTAGCTTATCAAAGGTTAGTAGGAGATACTTGGATTCATGATGACCGTCTAAAGCTAGATGCGAAAATGATGACGATCAATCTCTGGACGATGCCTCTTAGTTCACGACCCGGGAGGTTACGCAACCTTCCTCAACCAAGCTCCCTCAAACCCACTCTCAGGAAATCTCACGCGTTCCGATGGGGAGAATGTGTGTGTGTTGAACTTGGTATATTGGGGACTACAACCTCAACTTCCTTATATATAAGTCACACCATGGCTCCCATAACACCATATGTGGACTTATATGTGGGTTTCCACCCATTGGACCCACATTGGGTTCAAGTAGTCATGGGCTCAAATGAATTGGCCACTTTATTTAGCCCATCAAATCAAATAACAAATATAGTGTGTTCTAAAATTAGTGGCCCACTTAGGTTAGGAAATGAATTTCCTAACAATCTCCCACTTGGGCTATCTAATTTTCACACACATATATTACGAAATTCTTTAGGCGCGCTACCGTATGTTATTCGTATAATGACTACTCCTTGAAAATTTGGTCCATCTCATGTATAGCAGTGGAACCAACGCAGCTTTAATCACAACACTGTAATGATTAAACCACCATGATCACCATATTTATACATTCAATGACATAAATCAAAATGTGGATGAGTGGCATGAAAATTACATTGAAAGTGATCTAGTACATGTCTATTTTCAACTAGTCCAACTTTAGTCCTTAGTGAGATCAACTGAAATTCCTTCATACAATATGATCACTATATAACTGAAGGCACTTTAATTTTCAAATAGACTATAGAAAACCATCACTTTATTCTGCAAGATTTATTTAGTCATAATCTATTGAACTACTTAAATGACTCCCACTAAACCAAGGTACCATCCAGAATAACACTCATGTGAGCAATATGCTCATGAAAAAACGTTATGTGTCAAACCATTGGCTAATGGATAAGCTAGCATTAGTCATTTCCTTAATGTTCAATAGAAACTTGTCTATTTTGAACTTTATCTTTAACCACCAGGAACTTGATGCCAATATATTTGACTTCTGAAATCCATGGTAATGATAGTGTATCACTATCAAATTATTGTCACTGTTAACCTTTAATAACTTACCAATGTTTCATTCTAGTGACAAAAACTTTGCAACCATAATAGGAAGCGCAGATGTGATTTGAACTCTACCCAACACTGAAGGGTAACCTGATGTAGAGTTTATGCCACCTTGACATCCTGTAACATCAGAGTCAGAGTACTTGAGAATCTCTAAATTATCTGATCTCTAACAAATTTGCATGAATTCTTTTATCAATTTTAGCAAACGCGTTACACGTTTGAATCCTTCTTGTGTTTCATGCATAGACCAAACAAATATCTGCCAAAGACTCTTACTAGAAATGATTTATTGGGATGAGAATAAACTAAAGTAAACATTAGATCTTTAATGCAAATATGCATTCAAGAGATTTTGTATCTTAATTTCTTATATATAATTGCGGCACTGATTGAAACCAAAACTATCTCTCTTAGCTACAACACATCTCCTGGTTTACTAACTTATTCTACTTGCACCTTAAGTATAAAACAGGAAAATGAATTTACTCCCACTGAATGTAAGATATACACAATCATCTCCAACATTAGTCTCTAAATCTGAATGAGCTAATAACATGATAAAAAATTGTGATATTAATAATGAGATGCTTATATGAACCACCATTGTCATTATATTCCTTAAAGAGTCTTTTAAATATACCAGAGAGAAAGTCTCTTTGAGCCAACACTTTCCTTATTAGTAAAAGATTAGAGACCAACATGCCTTATATCTCTCATTGATTTCACCACATGGCATCAATCCACTTTTCATAACTGTTCATGACTTGACTAAAATTGAATCATTAGTCAACCTGATGTCATGTATATATTCTTTGAAGAACAACGATATTGTAAGCTAGAATCGTCCATCTTTTACTTTGTGGATATACTTAATGGCACTTCTTGAGTGTGTTGAGTTTGTGTGGTAACAATATCTCTTATGTTTCCTTCCCCCCAAAACTCAAAATACTCAAGAAATCTCACATTTCTCATTTAAAAAACTTGGGTAAATACAATATATTAGCCACAACTATTATGAAGCGAGGAATTATAGCCACAACTATGAAAATACAAATTATTAGCCATAACTATTGTTGCGCGTCATGATATGGCTAACTGTCCGTTACTGTTATTGAACTTTTTATGGAGAAGGCCACTTCATCGGCCACGGGAGCAGCCACATCGGAATGCTTTTTATTTATAACTTTAAAACATAAAAGTTTAGTCAGTATTACTAACGAAATTGTTAACAGATAGTTAACGTTTGGCTAATAATTTGAACTTCCATAGTTGTGGCTATAATTCCCCGCTTCATAATAGTTGTGGCTAATATATTGTATTTACACAAAAAACTTCTTGAGGTGGGATTATAAAACTTGTAGCCTCGAGAGTACTATTGAGTAGCCAACAAAATATAAGTTAATTCTTTTGTCCATTATACCTTCTTGTACCTTACAAGATATTTCCTAAGTTGGACAACCTTATATGTGCAAGGTCCTTATTGCACTTATTGGTTACATTAACTACCTTCCGGATACTCAATTTAAGGATGTACGTTGTAACCTTTATGGCTTTTATCCAAATGGAGTCTAGTAAGTAGAAATACTCCTCACCATGTGCTTAAGAGTTCAACGAAACCATAACATCCTTAACTCTCTATTTGTTTCTTTACTGAGAATTTGAGGTTTAGTGATTGAGTTCAGTCTCATCTCGTATCTTCCCTCCTCTCCTTTTGTGAATATTAGTACTCACCTAAAACTTCATGGAGGAAGATAAATTAAACCAAGTGTTGAGTATGTCTTTTGACACCTCCAAACTATAATACACTTGTACATTTTGCCTTTACACTTTATGGATTAAATTACCCTAATAGGAAGCTTACCCCGGATCCTTTTATGTTTTGGCAAAATACTGTATTATTACTTCAATAAACCTCAGAGGCATCTCAGTATAATAGCCCCATAATTATTCATCGAATAGAGCGCTTAATGATAATCATGAACACTGAATTGGATATATCTCTATTCGCTATTATTAAATCTCATTGAGATTTTCCGAAGTAGAATATTGATTGTTCCACATAAAAGCGCAAGATCAATGCTTATATATCGAGAATAATTGTCTTGAATTTACTTTAAATTCTTTAGATTCATCCCGTTTAACAGAAGAGTTAACTTTAATTAATTTCGACAGAAATATTTAAACCAAAAGATGAAAAACTATATTGAGATAAAAGAAAACACACATCAAGCCATATAATTAAACAAGATAATAAAATTATTCAATTTTGGGGACCCATCATAAGATACCAAATGCAACATTAATTCTTAGTCTTTGGACAGAGAAATTAACTGCGAGTGGTACTCTTAAAACAATGATCAAATACTGATAATAAGTTACGTCAAACAACAGTCTATCTTTGGACCGACTGTTATTCACATGAACAACAACTTTATAATTATCACGTATTTACCATTAATGTGCTTGATTATTTTGGTCAAATAATGTCGTCCTTTGGGTCGAGCACGGCCCACATAAAATAACCTTACACGTACATCCATGTAATCTAAGTTAAATAA